CCTTGTGATGCATTAGTCTTCCCTTGGTCTGGGAGCACCTCAGCACAGGAACCTCAGGTCCAAAGGACGCACTCTGCTCCCAGCACTGCTTTCTTGGTGGTATGAGGTTCCCCTGTGTCTCTGCTCGCTTCTCTCTTTTATATCTCAAAAGAGATTCGCTTAAGACAGTATCCAATCTTGTATACCTCATCAGTATAACTGCCACTAATCCATTTTTTTAGATCATAGTGATTGAATTTACAACACATAAGGAAATCACATCAGATTACACAGTCATGTAATACTGGGAATCATGACCTAGCCAAGTTGATACGTACATTTTTTGGGGTTCTTAATTCAATCCATGACAGTGTTCACAGGAACAAAAAAAGAGACTCAGCCAAAGATATGAACAGAGAGAAAGACTTGAAGATGAAAGATGGTCTTGGATCCCTTCAGAACTCTAAGAAGGTTCTTCAATGCATGGAGGATTTTAGTGTTCTAAGTGCTCCATGGAAATGGTGCTGGTGACTATAGTATCATTAGGAATGTTGACTTACAATGTGACTCTAACCTAGTTTAATTTTTTTCAGTTCTAAGAACGAAGGGACCTTTAAGTTTGAATATCTTTATTTGTCCAGTTTTTTTCAAGTCACACATTTTTCTGCATTAACACATACAATTTTAGAGTCAGATGATGCTTCAGAGAAAATCTTAGTCCCTTTACTTGGCAGTCAGGTGACTAAAGCTTAGGAGATTTGATGACTTTCCTAAGGTACGCAGCTGGTTTGTGGTAAGCCCACACTGGAATCCTGATTTCCTGACTAGACCAATACTTCCTCTTTTCAACATTTACTCATCCATCCATCCATTCATCCAGCAAACATTAATTTATCATCCACTATGTTTGTGGCACCTTGAGATGTATATAAAGATGAATAAAATACATTACCTATCCTTTGGAATAATCTATTAAATATCTAGTTATAACACAGAATATAGTGAAATCACAGTGATGGAAATGTGAACAAAGTATCATCAAACTGCAGAAGAACAAGTATTTAATTATAATTAAGAGATCAGAAAATATTTCTCTGAGGTTGAAGCCAACTTTATAAAGATTTTGATAGACCGAGTAGACAATAACAGAGCATTTCAAGATGCAAAACTATCAAGTTCAAAGCTACCAAAGTAGGAAAGAAATGGTGGGTTCTGGGGATGATAAACAGTGTGGCTATACCACAAGAGGTATGTTGTGAGTATGGTGTGAGGAAGGCGAGGCAGATGTATCTGAGGTTGCAGGACATAAGCATGAATGTGTAAGGCTACATCGAAGGTTTTTGTTTCACTCTACAGACACTTAGCCCGTATTACAAAGCTAGAATATGAGTTTCACAAATGCAGGGACAATATCATTCATTTTAATATATCCAGAGGCTATTTAGTAGTTCCTAAATTTTGGTTCACTGAGTTAGTAGAAATTCAGTAAACACTTGGTGGATGGATGAATGTTCAGTGGAGAGCCCTCAATGGATGTGAAGGTCTTTTTCAGAGTCTCGTCTATATTTTTGGAAGATAACCTGAGCCATTATGAAAGCTGGTTAGAGGGCTGAGAGATTGGAGGGGGTGGATACCAATTAGGAGGATCTTGCAGAGCCATAGGAGGATCTTGCAGAGCCTGAATTCAAGCCTGGCAATAGGAAGATGAAAGGTTGAGAAACAGTACGTGTAGGTTCCCTAGGACATATGTTTGCTGTACAAACATATAATGGGTACCTATTATATTCTGGGCACTGTGCTTGTCACTGGGGATAGAGATAAACAAGAAATAATCTATATGACCTCCCCCACCCCATCCTTTCAACACCTTCCAGGGCCTACCTTTCCTCTTTCTTGGGACCACTCTCCAGAGGGGTGCACACCCTTCTCCCCCAGCCTGGTCTTTTCTATCCCCCTTCCATCCATTATTTTTCACCATTGCACTTATCACTATTTAACATATATTCTACTTATTTGATTATTATTTGTCTGTCCCTGCTAAAAAGTAAGCATCAGCTTTTAGAGCAGTGTCTGGCACATAGTAGGGGCCTACTACATATTTGCCAAGTGATGAATATAAGAGGAAGGAGGAAATTGATGGGGCAAGATTCAGAAGCAGAGTTTGGCAAATTTTTCTGTAAAAGTCTGAATGGTAAATTTTTTAGATTTTGCTGGTCATAAATGGTCTCTGTTGTATATTCTTCTACTTCTTCCTTTTTTAATAATCCTTTAAAAATGTAAAAGCCATTCTTAGCTCACAGGCCATACAAAAATAAGCTCTGCACCCTACCAGAGTTTGCCAATCACTGTGAGGAAAAGTCAAGGAAACAATCTAGAGCACAGGTGAAGATGTTAACCCATTGCCATCGAGTCGATTCCGACTCATAGCGACCCTATAGGACAGAGAAGAACTGCCCCATGGGGTTTCCAAGGAGCAGCTGGTGGATTCAAACTGCTGACCTTTTGGTTAGCAGCCGAGCTCTTGAACACTGCACTGCCAGGGCTCCGGGGAAGGTGTAAGCTCTGAAAAAGAAAAGGGGTATGTCTTCTCTGAGACTAAAGGGAAAATGAGAAAGCAGATAAAATAAATGTGAACCTTTGAAGTAAAGAAAAGAGAAGTGAGTTCATTGCAGTGGCATCAGCCTCAGTGAGGAGGTTTGCAGTTGAATGTTAAGCACTTGTAGACTGGAAAATCTTGGAAAGAATGTGGTAACTAATCAAATAGAGATAAGCAAGAAAATTGATAAGCATCACAAGATTCAGCCAAAGTTGAATACACGAGTCTATGGTGTGTACTAGAAGACTAGAGAAAATGGGAAAAGGTAGAGCCCAAGAATTATAGCTTGTGACGCTTAAGAGTGATGTTGCACGAAATTCTAAAGATGCCTGGCATCTGGTTCAGAATCCTATTGGATTTTCCTCTTACTCTTTTTTGATGAAATTACTTCTAGAAACAATAAAGAAACATATGCTAATTAATGAAAATAATATCAACAATTAACATTTATTAAATACCTACCATATACAGAGACCCTGGGTGGCCCACAGAGGCCCTGGGTGGTGCTGTTGTCTAAGCACTCAACTACTAACTGAAAGGTTGGTAGTTCAAACCCACCCAGAGGTGGCTCAGAAGAAAGGCCTGGCGATCTGCCTCTAAAAGATCACAGCCTTGAAAACTATGGATTGCAGTGGTACTCCGAAACACATGAGATCTCCATGAGTTGGAATCAACTGAATGGCAGCTGGTTTGATTTTCTGGTTTTATGTGCTGAGCTATATGCATATCTCATTTAATCATATCATGTAGGTTCTGTTATTTATTATCTCTGATTTACAGATGAGGAAACTAATCCTAGAGAAGTTAAGAAACTTATCTAAAGGCATAAAAGCCTCTTAAGCATCAGAGCCGAATGAACTCAGTCTGTCTGGCATCTGGCCCTTGCTGTTACTTTATCTCAATAGGGTGCTGATTAATGAATTGATACCAATATGGAAGGAAGTCTCTAGTGACAGGTCCTGTCTTCATCCCTATCTTGTTTAGCATTTTTATAATGCTTTAGATGAGGGCATAGATAGTGTACTTATCAAATTTCCAGTGAAGTGGAATGAGGAAGGATAGAGAATACATTAGAATACAGAATGAGAACCTGGGATTATCTCAAGTTGGAATGGTTCAGCCCAGAAGAAATGCAATGGAGATAAGAATATAATCCTTTACTTAGGTCCAGAAACAACTGCACAAGTGCAGTGTCTTAGCTATGGGGTGTGTAGGAAGGAAAAAATGCTTAGAGATTTTAGTCATCTCACTTTAATGAGTGTGGTGAACTGCAGCTTGTCCAGAGGGAAATAGGAGAGGGAAGCTGTTGAAGTCCACTTCATCTGAGGAACAGTTAAAGAAACTCATAAAGTCTTAGAGCAAAAATGCTGGTGGTGGAGGGTGGGAAAGAGGGAGCAATGGGAGTGAGTATTGTCTTCAAATATTTCTGGAAGTTTTCCTAGAAGATAAATTAGACGTGTTCTCTTGGACCTTTGTGGTCAGAACTAGGAATAATAAGTGGGGATAGCAGAGATCCAGAGTTTGACTCAGTATGAGAGTAACTTACCCAAATTAGACCTGTTCAAAATTGTCATGCACTGTATTGGGAATTAATGTGTCCTCTATTGCTGGAAGTGTCTTAAACTGAAACTGAACAATCGTTTATTAGAACTTGCTTTAAATGACCTCTGAAGTCCCTGCCAAAACTAAGAGTTTTTAGATGAATAAAGCATTTCTGTACTATTTTTCCAAAAAGTAAACTTCTCAGCTTTCTTCTGTTCTGTGTTTGCAACTTGATTTAGTACCATGTTAGAAATACGGTGATGTACATTAACAGAACTTCTGTTTTGAAACCAACCTGTGCAAATTCTGATTTTTCACTTGGAATATGACAAGATGTTTAGCATACACAGGATGTGTATTTTACTTGTATACAGTTCTTGCCAAAGATGGTACTAAAATTGTACCATATTCCTGCCAATATTTTTCTTTAACCACATCCCATGATATAATTTTTTTTGTAATAAATTTTTGTATACAAGAAGTTGTCTTGAAACGGATAACATATTTTAAGTTGGATTGAATTCTAACACAAAGGATGAAATTGTTTCAGAAGGGACAATCTATTGACTTTCTGAAACTGTTGTACTATTCTTTGAGGTAGTTTAAAAACTTAGTTCTATGATCTGCCTGTTACATTTCTACTGGTTTTTTAGATGTATATTCAAAGTTTTTAATTTTTAACATATCAATAGAAAATTAATTGGATATATGTTGAAAACCTCATTTGCTTTTCAAAAGATATTTAAAAACATCTTATCACTGACATTCATAAAGTTGAAACAGAAATTAGGAAACTTGTCTATTTTCTGTTTTAATTTTTTCAAGTTTACTTAATTCAGTGGGTGTACTACTTATTGAAAAGAATTACTTTTTTTTCCCCCAGGTGTGATTCCTTTTCATGGATTCTCAATGTATGGTAAGTTGACCTTTAAAATATTTATTGTTTTCATTACACTTTAAAAAATTAAGATCACTTTATATCATATTACCCACACATTTAACAAGTAACTGAACATTTTTAAACATTGAATTTTAGTATTTGTTTATATGTCTAATTAAAAAATTAAATTGATGATAAGAAAAACAAAATAAGAAATAAAAAGTCATCATAATTGTTCATATGATGAGTACTTGGCAAGTTAGAATTACAACATAATGTGAAAGTGGTTGTATGGTTTACCATTTTCTAATCCAGTGGAAGCTAGATATAAATTAATATTTAGTTCTAATAGGTATAAAATGAGTTTATTTAAATTCCTGAACTAATTCTCATAAGAGTCTGTAAAAAATGATAGGTCAGAAAGAATCAGAAGAGAGGGATGGCACTGAATTTGAGCTCATGATATGTCCAGGCTACTGGCATGCACAGCAACAATCCCATTAAAGCATGCAGTTGCCCTGAATTTGAAGTATATGTGAGCAACACATGTGCAGGTTTGAGAGACATCAGTGCCTTTCTGGTCTCATGTGTCATTGGATGAGGAATGTAGGAAGCTCAGTGAAGATTAGCTAGAGGAAGAATGCCCTATGCCTAAATGCCACTTATTTTTAAATTTGCATGTATTACATATAAACTTGTTAAAGATTGTTGTCCCTGTTATTTCTAATGCTGTCCCCTTAATTTCTATTGTTGTCCCTAACTTCAGAATAAACAAAAATGCTTTAATATTTTACCTTTGTACCCAAAATCAGCAATGAATTAACATTTGCCTTTGTAAAAAGCCCCTCAGTGTTTAATATCAGACAGTCATGGTGAATTACATAATATAAAACTTTAAAAACTAGCATACAGTAAAAAAGATTAAAAACTGCATTATTCTGCCCTGATGGTGTTGATCATGGGCTTGAATTTACTTTATTAAGTAACCAAAATTTCATAACTTAATACATACAGTTATAGTACCATTCTTTTATAAATATGTGAGTGATTTAAAGACAGAAAACCCAAAAAAGATTAAAAATAATAAATTTTCGCTTCTAATAATAAAAATATTAGCCCTTTTATTCTCCTATTTTAGGAGTTACAACCGCAAAAACTGTTTAATAGTTTTTAAAAGGTGTACTTGGCTGATATAGAGGATACTTAATGATGTCATGAAATCTTAATTCTTCTACCTATTTTCAGTGTACAAAATATATCACTGACTCAGCCTCTGTCTATTCACATTTATAATCAAAGAGGCTAAGGTTTATACAGCCAAGGGGGAAATGTTTGCTAAGGAAATAAATTATGTAAAATTTTTGATACAGAGTTTATTTTTACTATTTTAGAAAAATATTTTAAGCATTCACAAATGCTTTAGCAGCAACTACTTATTTATATGTAAGTCATCCCTAAGGAACTCTAGTTAGCACTTTGCCCCTTCAATTTTAGTCACTGTATTTCTTGGAACTAGCAACACTGTGTCTGTTTTAATTGATTCAAAACTTTTCTGTAATTTAACTGGCCTTCTTCTTTCACATTTATGCACAGTAAGTTTTAGTGTAAGTGTGCTATATTATGATTTCATAAATAAAGTCATATAGTATAATATTTAATTGGTTAAAATGATAATGAGCTAAATTCATTTTTATGGAAGAACCAAATAGGGAAAGATGCTTAAAACAGAAAATTAAGTCACATAGAAGATTTTTTGCATATTATATACAATGGACTAAAACTTTTCAGTTTTTGTAGCCATAAAAGGGAATTCAGCATAAATAACTGTGATATCTTGAAAAGTAACTGATTGTAATTTTTTTAATTAGGTAATTTGTAGAGAAGTGCTTATCTTAAAATTCTGTTCTTCATTCCTTCACTGGAAATAATCATTAATGATGATTAAAAGCTTTAGATTCAGATTACAGATTTTTATATATCAATAACTTAAAAATTAGAGGAAAAAATATACACCATAAAAAGTATATAAATTCCAATCCTTCACTTTAAATTTATAATAATACTATGTATTTGTACCACATCTGTATTTCTTTTTCTTAGGCTGTGATTGCAATTAGAACATGAGTTCTTCTTTTTAAACATATGGAATACCCTAATTTAAGATATTTTAATAAGTGGTAACTTATTTTGATAATAAAATCAAATTTTTAAATTTGTTTTGAAGTGGAAAGACATACCTGTAAGTTTTTAAACATTTCTACGTATGTATAACTTTTTTCTGCATATATAATATGTTATGACTTTTTATATATTTAGATGTGTATTGTATAAAACTGATTTGTCTCTCCTTTGCCTCTCAGAAAAAAGTATCATTTCTCACTTGCAATGCTAGTTTTTGTTATATTCATCAGTAATCACTGTGTGGTTACTCAGATAATAAAGCTTTTGTGTTATTAAGCGTTTTTAAATTTTTATCATTTTTCCCTTAACTTTTACAAAAAGAAGAGAACTAAGTTGGCCAACTGGTTTCCCTGCCTACTTAATGCCTACTGCTTGACAGTCATTTACCTATAGGTCATAAAGCCACAGAACTTCTTACCTGTCCAGTTTATGTCATAGTTCAAATTACCATATGAGTCATTTTTAATTAAAATTAATATTTATATGGTGTAGTTTTATGTATCTGCATTGTAAATGTGTTTATGCTGCCTAAAATTCTTAAGGCTTAAAAAGATGGAAGGTATGACCGTGTTTGTACAGAATAATCACTTTCTGATGTTCTACTGTGAGATATCTACATGGGCTTAATTACCAAAAGCTGGGTACAAAAGAAACCTTAATTTAACATTTATTAGAGAAATAAATTCTCTCCTTAAGGATTATTTTATTTTAAATCTATGAAAACTGTCTTAATACATATTGATATATGGCAATATAGACCAGTAGTCTAAAGCTATTACTCAAAATTTTTATTTTCAAATTGAATTAGTTGAAAACAGTATTCCAAAAGCTAGTCATAAATTATTTTATATCTTACTTACCTGAATTTACCTTCCAAAATTTAAAAATTTGAAAAGTAGCCTGAATCCTTTGTGGGGCAAAGTAAAAATGAGTTGCCTAATTGTTGCTTTCTTACTATTTAAATTAAAAAAAAGAGGGAGAGACTGGACTTTATATAGTTTTTAAAAGTTACTTTGGATTTTAAGTACTCCCGCATAATTCTATTGTGTCATTTTTATACTATTTTAAGTTGGGATTATAATAGTCTATAATTTACTCCTTTCTTCATAATTTTTAATGATGAATTTATTCACTGGTGGAAGGAAAAGTATAGTTGTTCAGAATCAACACAGTCTGTCCTTTAGGAACTTCTAGTTTTAATTGTACTTCAAAACCTAAACTTCTGAATTTTTAATTATATAGTCTCAATGTAATAGTGTTTATGTTTAGAGGGATACATGAGAAGTGAGAAGATCTTTTCTGAGCAAGACAAAAACTGAGAATCTAAAATAAAGATTGATAAATTGACAAAATAAAACTAAAGTTCCTGCACACATGTGCGCGCGTGCGCGCGTGCACACACACACACACACACACACACACACACACACACACACAAGGATAAGAAAGTCAAAAGACAAAACCACAACAAATTGGGGAAAATATTTTGCATTGCATACAATGAAGGGCAGAATACCTCCAACATGTAAATGAAAACTTACTATTCCATAAGCAATCCAGTAAAAAAAAAAAAGTAGTAAAAAGGCACAGAAGAAAAAAGAAATACAGATGGCTTATAAATATATAAAAAGATACTGAACCTCACTCATAAGTAAAGAAATGCAAATTAATATAATTCAAAGACACCATTTTCATCTATCAGATAGGTAAAGATCAGAGTTTGATAGTATATACTATTGGTCAAAGTATGAGGAAATGGGTGCTCTATAGACAGTTCTAATGACTATATAAATTATGTTAGCTTTGACTAAGCCATTTGACTTTAAGGAATTTATCCTTGTGCGAAGGTGTATGTGTAAGGATGTTAATTAGAACTCTGTTTTTTGGGGGAGGAGGTTAATAGCGAACTATTACACACAACTTAAATATTCATCAGTGTGGAGCTGGTTAAATCAATTATAGCATATGCAAAAAAATGGTATTCAGCTTTTAAATAATGTTGTAGATGTGTGTAAACTGATGTGGAACAACCATCTAGATGTATGTTAAGTGAAAAGTGCAAGGTATAGAATAGTGGATATACTCCAATTTGTGTGTGTGTGTGTGTGTGTGTGTTTTAAAGATGTATGTATTTAGATATGTTGTATTTGCATGGGAATTTTCTAGAAGCTATACAAGAAATCATTAAAAAGGTCATATAAAAGGAAACTGAAGGTCTGGGGTAAAAGGTAGACATATTTATTTTTCAGTTTATACCTACTTTACTGTTTGAACTTTTTACATGTGCATATATTTTCAAAATGAAAAAACTATGATTTTAAAGTTGTCTATGAATGAATATTATTACTATAAAATAATGATTTATTCTCTCATATTTCATGTAATTATTCATTTAAAAAAATTTAGTAGCTCTGCAATATTACCAATTTTTTTTTTATTCTTTCAGTTGCGCCACTTTGTTTTCTATACCATGAACCTTCCAAATTGTATCAGATATTCCGTGAGATGTATGTGCGTTTTTTCTTCAGACTCCATTCCATCTCTTCTCATCCTTCTGTAAGTTCATAAAAAAAAAAAAATGGTTCTAATCTTTCTTTCATGGAAAAAATTTGTAGCAGCAACAGATTTTCTTTAATCTCACTCAACTGAGAATTTTCCTCATAAGTAAAAATCTACGCAAATTATAAAGTAAATACATATATATATTTATATTAAAATATAAATTTTAATTAGTGATGTCAACACATTTCTACAGAATAAATGAAAGAGAAGAATAAATTGATATTTAAATAATTTTGGTGATATTTAGAGAGGAAAAAGTCCCTTATCAATTACATTTAAATTATCTTTTGTATATTTAAAAAAAAATTAGAAATGGCTGTATTATTTTCCTTGACAAAGATGCCTACCTTCTTTTAACCTTGATTTCTTCTCTGTGAAATGTGGTTAATATATTATCCGTAGTGCTATAGAAAAGTCTGCAAAGCATCGAGGATAGTGGTTGGCTCATAGCAGGTGTTCAATAAATAAATGGTTATTTTTCTTGTTATTATCATCATCATCATCGTCTCTTCTTTGTTAATGAAAAGCAAACATTTGTTTGTCACTTGTTTTCCAATTTCATATTTGGCTGATTATCAGCTATCATACTAGGTATTTCCTTGTGCTTATCCAATAGAAAGCTTCTCTGGTCAAAGAAAAGCATATTGGGAGTTGAATATTTTTATGTTTTATTTTGGCTTCTCAATTATCATATCTTTAATTTGTTTTTCTTGCCATGAGCCTGAATATTTTATTTCAATTTTACGGTTTCCACTTTGGGCCTGCTTTAGTCCACTTAGGGGTAACTGACTAACTCTCTAGAAGAAACATTAAATTGGAACATATATACCAAAAAAAAACCAAAGCCATTGCCGTTGAGTCAATTCCGACTCATAGCAACCCTATAGGATAGGGTTTCCAGGGAGCAGCTGATGGATTCAAACTGCTGATCTTTTAGTTAGCAGCCAAGCTCTTAACCACTGTGCCACCAAATTTCCTCAGAGGAGAATGTGTTACATCTACTAAATTAAATATCTGCTCTTTATCCCTCTGGTTTAATCCTACACATTCCTATCCCACCTTCCTCAGTCTCCAATCTTGCTCTTAGGCATTGCTATCAGAAGTGGGCAAATATCTTTGTATTCTTTACTCTAAGACAAGTTGATTTTGTTCCTATCTTCCATTGATATTTTATCTAAAATAATCAGAAACATAGTGAATAATTCTTCCCATTTCTAATATCTCATTCTTAGCATTAGATTTTCGACTCTAGTTTTCCATGCCATTTTATGCTTCAGAGTTTAAAAAAAGTAAAAGTGAAAAACGAACTGCCCAGTGCTTGCCCTTGGTGTTCTTCCCATGCAGAGCATGAAGCTAGATGCCGAGCACCTCTGCCTATTCCTTCTCTGTCTCCATGCTGACCCTGAGGTGTCCTTTTTCAGCTAATTGAGTAGGCCAGTCCTGCCTGTGCTCCTTTGTTATTCACTGGAATAAAGACTTGCAGGCGGTCATCTCTTTTCCTGGCTTGCAGCCAGACTAAAATACTTGGAACCCTGACAAGCTTTTTTCTTTAGAAACTCAAAGAGGATTAAAACTTCCTTACAAAGATCAATCCTGAGGAATGCTGAGCTGCAAGAAAGACTTTATTCAGAGTTGTCAAGTAATGAATGCACGTGAAAAACCATCTGTTTAAGTCGGTTATTTCTTATACTCTGCAAATAATGCCCTTTTAAAAAGGCAGATTTCAGTTTAAAAAAAAAAAAAAAACTCTTTATACTAAGTAATCAAACATTCTTGTTTGATAACTTCCTGATGCAAATTTCAAGCAGTCAGTCTTTCCCTGGGAGTGGATTTAGAAAAGCAGGAAATGTTTTCCCCAGTGGGTGGAGGGGAAGGGACTGTATGGAAGGAGAGAGTAAAGGGGTGTGGGGATAGCAACTGGGAAATACCTGGAAACTGGAATTCATCCAGAGAAAACTAATTTTGCTGTGGTCTAAAGTGATAATACATGGCTTGCAAAGTAGCAGTTTTCTGAACATGATGTTTTCCTTGGACTCTGAATACTACATATCCAGTTCAGTGGGGGAGCCTATTGTGTTAAAACGACGTCCCCTGCCATATCTACAAGAGTGGGGAATTCATAGAGGATAAAACTTATCTTTAAGCACCATGTTAGGGATCTGCTAATGCTTTTCTTCGTTTTGACTCGTAAACGATATGAAGAATATTTATGTTGTTACTCTTTTTCTCATTTTCCATTTGAATAATTTTTTTAGCATAGTTAATTTTTAAATACTAAAAGGTGTTTTACTCTTATTATTCATTACTGTGTCCAGGGTATTGTGTCACTGTGTTTGCTGTTTGAAACTCTTCTTCAAACATATCTTCCCCAACTCTTTTATCATCTGCGAGAAATTGGGGCTCAACCGTGAGTAATTTTCTCTCCTATTTGAAACATAAATCCTTTCACATCATAAGCTCTTTTTTCATCATTGTAAACACTTGTAAAGATACAGTCCTCAATAAAATACTAATTATCAGGTAGTAAATTGTAACCCTACATTGTGGTAAAAATACTTAGAAGAATTACCAAAATCCTAATAAATTCTTACTTGCTAGGATTTTGTGTCTGGTACAAGAATCACCAAAATGAACTAATTTCTATTTATAATGAAAGGTGTTAGCCAAAAATAAGGCAAAAATATATATATATATGGAAACAAATACTACATGAGAAATGTGATAATACTAAAATTAAGTCAGTTTAGGGTAAATTTGTCAGAGAACAATCTACGAAAGCTAAATAAGCTAAAGTCTGCCCTCTTTTATTAAAAGAAACTAGATCAGTTACCTACCAGTGGGAGTACACTATGATTTCTCCCTCCGAAAGTTGAATGTTTAGTTACTGATCTCAGTAGAAGTTATCTGTGGATATGTAGGGTAACTCTGGACTTCAATATTACTGATTCTCTCTTTTTTTAACTAACAATGTCTGAAGCAACAGAAGTTTCCAAATGATTTATTAATCATTTTATTCCTGTCTTCCCCTCTAAGCAACTATTTTCCCCTATTAAGGAAGGCATATTTGAAAGGAGCATTTACTCTTTGAGGCCTCTAAAGGAGTTAATAGGAAATAGCATAGTTTAGTATTTGTCTTTTCCACACTTGAATTTCCAGCACCCTGAAGACTGCTCAATAAGTATTTATTAAATGAATGGATGAGTGAATGGGTGAATGAATAGATGAATGAGTGGGTGGATTTGAGACAGACCCAGATTCAAATCTCAGCTCTATTAAGCTGTGTAATCAAGAGTAGGTTATTTAATTTATCTAAGCCTCAATTTTCTTACCTTTAAATCAAGATAATTCCACTTCTTCATTTTTAAATTCAAGTTCCTCACCTTTAAAATCAAGAAAATTGCTACCTCATGCAGTTGTTTCAAGATTTAATGATCCTATGTATATTTATATGTATGTGTGTGTGTATTCATGTATATCTGCATGTATGTGTATGTGTATATATGCAGTTTAAAATGATCAAAATTCAACAAAATTTGAATGTAAGGTTTATTCTAAGCAATTATTCTATATGCACATAGACCATTTTGATTCCAGCAAAAGCAAATGTCCAGAAGCCTGGTACAGTGAGGCTTATAAAGAGAAGAGGAGGGAGAAATATAGAAGATCAACCATTGGCTAATCTTAACATGATTAATTGAACCCTGCCCTGCCCCTTTTACTGAGGTCAACTGGTACAAGGTATGGCCTCTGGCTCTCCACCTAGCCATGTCTTTTGAAATTCAAATTCGGCAAGCCTGGTGTCCAACAGGAAAGAAAGGATTTGCAACTTTGAGTGAGAGAAAAACTGCTGGCAGGATTGATTTTAGTCAGAAATTTCTTTAGAGTGAATATTTGGTTTTGTGAGTAAGAAAACCCCAAAATCAAAGCAAGATATCTGCTATCAATCCCTCTTTGATAATATATACATACATATATAGAGACAGACAAGTATAGTGCCTGGCAATCAATAAACGTTATTATCTTTCTAAAAAGTACCGTTTTAATATGCAGAAGGAAGAGTTTACTATTTGCTCTAAATCTGTTTGTTAGTGATTATTAGAGAGATCTTAGTGACCCAAAATAACTAGTAAACTTAACTGCGTCCTTTTGAGAAAATGTTACCTAAAAAGGATCTTACACAATGTTTAAGTGATGTTAGACCAAGGTTTAATGAAAATGAGAAGCAGAGCCAAGTGTGAGGAGAAATGGAAGAAGAGAGGCGGGAACAAGGAGGGAGACTAAGAGGAAATAGAGATACTTATGATGAGAGGAAAACATGAGCAGGCTTTAAAATACCAAAATAAAAATGTAAATTCCTCCTCCAAAAAAGTCTTACACACAAAAATCACAATTTTGAATTTCAGATATCTAAGAAATGCAACTTATAAAATAGCACCTCATATCATCCATTGGTAATACTTAGCTGAATACTCTTTCCTATGTAGCTGTTAAAAAACAGGATCTGTTAATGATTAAGATAAAACAAGAATGTGGCAGAAATATTTCAGATTGTGCCTGAGTCTTTTTTGCTTAAACTTGTAGTAAATAGACCTCTTTTTATGAAATGAACATTTGAATATAACTAGGCTTTTTTTTTTTTTTAACTAGGATGAAGACATGTAGTTTATTATTACTCGATTCTGACTCATAGCGACCCTATAGGACAGAGTAGAACAGCCCCATACGGTTTCCAAGGAGCGCCTGGTGGATTTGAACTGCCGACCTTTTGTTTAGCAGCCTTAGCTCTTAATCACTATGCCACCAGGGTTTCCAGTTTATTATTAGAAACTAAAACTCTGATATCTTTCTAGCCTATTTATATACTTGAAACATTGAAAGGAACAAATTTATCTCAATGACTTATGATAAACATTAAAATTCCTATGTAGGAGAAAGTATAAAAAGTATGTCAAGGTAGAAATCAATTTTTAAAAGGCTTTCAACAGAGTTTTTATCAAAAGCATAGTTGAGCCATCCAGTGTGACAACTGATGCTGTTGGGAGGTTTTTAACTATAAATTTAATTTCTTTAATAGACATAGGACTAGGTTATTTATTTCTTCTTGAGTGAACTTTGGTAGTTTCTGCATTTTATCTAAGTTATTATATTTATCGACATAAAGTTACTCATAATATTCTTTAATTATTGTTAATTAGCCTTTTAATATCTGTAGGGTCAGTAGTGATATCACCTCTGTCATTCCTGAGGTTGATATTTGTATCTTTTCTCTCTTTCTTGGTCAGTCTGGCTAGAAGTTTATCAATTTTCTTCATCTTTTCAGAGAACCAGTTTTTGGTTTCATTGATTTTCTCTATTTTCTTTTTTCAATTTTCATTGATTACTGCTCAAATATTTATTATTTCTTTCCTTATGCTTGATTTAGGATAGATGAATGAGTGGATGGGTTTGAGAGACAGACACAGGTTCAGTTGCACTTAGAAAACCAAAAGGGAAGAACACGATTATAATTTCTCAAGCTGAAAGAACTAAAGAAAAAATTCAAGCCTCGAGTTGCAATACTAAAGGATTCTTTGGGTAAACTGAAGTTAATTCAAAAACAGTTGCAGCAATAAATCGACAAGGAACTGCAAGAAATTCAAGCCAGATTCTGTAGAGGGCTTGGAACTAGGGATATCATTGCTGATGTCAGATGGATCTTACCTGAAAGCAGAGAATATCAGAAAGATGTTTACCTGTGTTTTATTGACTATACAAAAGCATTTGACTGTGTGGATCATAGCAAATTATGGATAACATTGTGAAGAATGGGAATTCCAGAACTTAATTATGCTTATGAGGAACCTGTACGTAGACCAAGAGGCAGTTGTTCAAACAGAACAAGGGGATATTGTGTGGTTTAAAATGAGGGAAGTCGTGTCAGGGTTGTATCCTTTCACCATACTTATTCAATCTGTCTGCTGAGCAAATAATCCAAGAAGCTAAACTGTATGAAGAACGCAGCATCAAGATTAGAGGAAGACTTGTTAACAACCTGTGATACGCAGATGACACAACCTTACTTGCTGAAAGTAAAGAGGACTTGAAGCACTTACTGATGAAGATCAAAGACTGTAGCCCTCGGTATGGACTACACCTCACCATAAAACAAAAATCCTCATAACTGGACCAATAAGCAACATCATGATAAGCAGATGAAATATTCAAGTTCTCAAGGATGTCATTTTACTGGGATCCACAGTCAACACCCACAGAAGCAGTAGTTGGGAAATCAAACAACATATTGCATTGGGCAAGTCTGCTGCAAAAGACCTCTTTAAAGTGTTAAAAAGCAAAGATGTGACTTTGAGGACTAAGGTGCCTGACCCAAGCCATGGTATTTTCAGTCACCTCATGTGCATGCGAAAGCTGGACAATGAGTAAGGAAGACCGAAGAAGAATGGATGCCTTTGAATTATGGTGCTGGTGAAGAATACTGAATGTACCATGGACCGCCAGAAGAATGAACAAGTCTGTCTTGGAAGAAGTACAGCCAGAATGCTCCTTAGAAGGGAGGATGGCAAGACTTCATCTCATGTACTTTAGACATGTTACCGGGTCAGACCAGTCCGTGAAGAAGGACATCATGCTTGGTTAAGTAGAGGGTCAGTGAAAAAGAGGGTCAGTGAGATGGATTGACACAGTGGCTCCAACAGTGGATTCAAATATAGCAGCAATTGTGAGGATGTCTGTTGTACGTGGGGTTGCTACAGGTCAGAACCAACTCAACAGCATTTAACAACAACAGCAACAACTATGGGTAAAAAATTGAATGATGCAGTAAGCATCAAAAGGAGATGGAAGTAATATAGAGAGTCACTGTACCAAAAAGAATTGGTCAACATTCAACCATGTCAGGAGGTAGCATGTGATCCAGAACCACTGGTACGAAGGAAGAAGTTCAGTCTGCACTGCAAGCATTGATGAAAACAAGGATCCAGGAAATGACAGTATTCACCATCTGAGACACCTCAAACAGATGCAACACTGAAAGTGCTTACTTGTCTGTGTCAAGAAATTTGGAAGACAGCTACTTGGCCGACCGACTAGAAGAGATCCATATTTGTGCCCATTCCAAAGAAAGATAATCAAATGTAATGTGGAAATCATTGAAGAATATTATTAATGTCATATGCTAGCAGAATTTTGCTGAAGATAATTCAAAAACGACTGGAGTCATACATCAATGGGGAATATCCATAAGTTCAAGCTGGATTCAGAAGAGGGCGTGGAACAAGGGGTATCACTGCTTTTGTCAGATGGATTTTGACCAAAAACGAGAATACTAGAACAATGTTTATCTGTGTTTTATTGACTATGAGAAGGCATTTGAGTGTGTGGATTGTAACAAATTATGGATAACATTGTGAC